GCCCCAGCTGTGAGCTGAGCGGCGGGCACTGCCCGGCCTCCTGGCCCTGGGGACCGAAGGGCTGTTCCTCAGGGACACCCATGAGGACACGACTCGTGCCCCGGGCAGGACAGTGGCCACCACCAATTACAGCTCCTCCGAGGCGACACGGGTGACATCCTTTCTGAAGATGTCAGAAACGACGACGTCCCAACAGGAGGAGGGAAAGGGCCAGGAGGAAGAGGAGGAGGAGGAGGAAGAGGTGTCGGACTACAGCTACGAGGCCGGGGAGCTGCAGCAGAGCTGGCTCGAGGACTCCATCAACTGGCAGAGGACGTTCAGCGTCAGCTCGGTGGACTTCGAGCTCCTGCGCTCCGACTGGAACGACCTGCGCTGCAACGTGTCGGGCAACCTGCAGCTGAGCGAGGGCGAGGTGGTGGACGTGGTGGCACAGTACATGGAGAAGCTCAACGAGAAGAACGGAGGGTAGGGAGGGAGGGGGAGGCTTGGGGAAGTGCCTTTGCCCCACCTGGGGAGCTGGGTGGTGGGTTCAGGCCAACCTCCGGAGGAAGGGGAGCTGTGGGGAGCAGAGCTTGTGGTGGTGGAGCTTTGAAGTGCTTCTCCTTTCCCTGTAGCATCTACACCCTCCTGAGGATCATCAACGTGGAGAAGCGCCGGGACACGGCGCGGGGGAACCGCTACCTGCTGGAGCTGGAGCTGGCGGAGCGGGGCCGGCGCACCGTGCGGCTCTCCCAGTACGTCTACGTCCTCCTGCACCAGGGCAAGCAGGACGACAGTGCCGAGGCCATTACAGCTCCTCCGAGGCGACACGGGTGACATCCTTTCTGAAGATGTCAGAAACGACGACGTCCCAACAGGAGGAGGGAAAGGGCCAGGAGGAAGAGGAGGAGGAGGAGGAAGAGGTGTCGGACTACAGCTACGAGGCCGGGGAGCTGCAGCAGAGCTGGCTCGAGGACTCCATCAACTGGCAGAGGACGTTCAGCGTCAGCTCGGTGGACTTCGAGCTCCTGCGCTCCGACTGGAACGACCTGCGCTGCAACGTGTCGGGCAACCTGCAGCTGAGCGAGGGCGAGGTGGTGGACGTGGTGGCACAGTACATGGAGAAGCTCAACGAGAAGAACGGAGGGTAGGGAGGGAGGGGGAGGCTTGGGGAAGTGCCTTTGCCCCACCTGGGGAGCTGGGTGGTGGGTTCAGGCCAACCTCCGGAGGAAGGGGAGCTGTGGGGAGCAGAGCTTGTGGTGGTGGAGCTTTGAAGTGCTTCTCCTTTCCCTGTAGCATCTACACCCTCCTGAGGATCATCAACGTGGAGAAGCGCCGGGACACGGCGCGGGGGAACCGCTACCTGCTGGAGCTGGAGCTGGCGGAGCGGGGCCGGCGCACCGTGCGGCTCTCCCAGTACGTCTACGTCCTCCTGCACCAGGGCAAGCAGGACGACAGTGCCGAGGCCAACCCCGAAGGACCAGCCCTGGGGGCCACCGAGCCCCAGCCCAGCACCTGGAGCCTCCTCTATGGAAAATCTGTCCTGTGCCAGCCCCTGCAGCTCAGCTGGAGGCAGGACGTCATGGTGCACTTCGTGGTACCCGGTAGGTGACAGCAGGACACGTCTCTCCAGGGTCTCTGCTGCCCCCTCTGCTCTCCTGCCCTCTGGCGAGAGGAAGGCAACCCCTCTGCTCCCCAGTTGCATCCCCCAGGCTGGCCTAAGGGTGATGAGGTTCTCTGTTCTCATGAGGCGTTGAGGCTGTCGTCGCGAGGGGTGTTTTGGTTGGGAAGGGGTTGCTCTTGGGACCCGGGTGGTGTGAGCCTGAGGGATGTTTGTGGCTGTGTCTGGCAGTGAAGAACCAAGCCCGCTGGGTCCAGCAGTTCATCTCGGACATGGCCCACCTGTACGAGGCTACGAAGGACGCCAACTTCAATGTCATCCTGGTGGACTTTGACAGTGATGACATGGATGTCGAGAAAGCCCTTCGGGATGCCCGATTGCCCCGGTAACCCACCCTCACGAGCTCGGGGTCCCACCCTACTCCCCTGGAGGCTGCCAGGGAGGTCTGTGGCCATCCTGATGGTGCTCACCCAACCTGCTGCTCCTTTCCCAGCCCAGCTGGGTCTCTGCCTCTCTGCCCCTCTTCTCCTCCTTTTTGGGGTTTAAACTTGCTTCCCATGTGGAGGAGTCAGAGATGCAGAAACCCCCTCTGCCTGCATGGGGAACCCTCAACATGAGCTGTAGGGACCTGACCCCCCTTCTGAGAAGGTCCCGTCCCCTTGCTGGTGATCTCTGTCCCCCTCTTGGCTGTGTCCCCTTTGGCCACCAGCACTGACCACCCTGCCCTCTCTCCTCAGCTACCAGTACCTGCAGCGCACGGGGAACTTTGAGCGCTCAGCTGGGCTGCAGGCTGGTGTGGACGCGGTGGAGGTGAGTGGTGGGACAGGGAGTGGAGAGAGAGGATGAGGGGGAATGGTTTTAAGCTGAAAAAGGGAAGATTTAGGTGGGATTTTAGGAAGAAATTATTCGCTGTGAGGGTGGTGAGACCCTGGCCCAGGTTGCCCAGGGAAGCTGTGGCTGCCCCATCCCTGGCAGTGTT